CACCCGCACAGGGCTGGCAGCAAGCAGCCAGGCATGGAGCTGCTCCCAGAACACCCACCCCTTCTCCCCCTGCCCTCATGCCTGGGTTAGGGGAGCACACGGGACAGAGTGAGCACCGAGACCCCGTTGTTAGTCATGAACCAGGGTCGGATCAGAGGACGCAGTGTTCACTCTTGCAGCCAAAGCAGAGGGGATGGGGAACGGCTGCAGGGGGCCCAGCCTGGACGGTCCCGGCCCCCCACAGCTCCAGAACATTGCGTGTTGTTGCAGATGGCTATCAGGACAGCTGCAGAGGTCGTGCAGACCTCAGGTCCCTGGATGTACGCAAGCTCGCATGGTCCAGAGTGTATAACGCACACATAGCAGAGCAACCGCCCCACACGCTGCTGGCTGCTCGTCCACCTCCCCACTTCAGTGCACGTCCCTCCCACCTCCTCACTGCACATCTGTTCTCCTTGCTGCATGCCATCCCTCCTCGCTGCACAGCCATCCCTTCTCAATACACATCCATCCCTCCTTAATGCACATCCATCTCTCCTCTTCACTGCACATCCATCCCTCTTTGCCTCACACGGATGCCCCCACCTCGCTGAGCATCCATCCCTCACATCCATCTCTCCTCTTCACTGCACATCCATCCCTCTTTGCCTCACACGGATGCCCCCACCTCGCTGCGCATCCATCCCTCCTCCTTGCCGCAAATCCATCTCTCTGCCATGGTCCGCATCCATCCCTCCTCGCTCCACATCCATCTCTGCCACCTCGCTGCACATGCCTGGCCTGACACACACAACAGTTCGAGCATCAGGACCTGGCTCTCCCTGCTTCTCGCTTCACTTTGCACCGTGAGGTTTACACGTGGCACTGCAGAAGCTGAGAGCAAAGCCTGTCTGTGCATCCCCCTGCACGCGTGCACCACGGTTGCGGGAACCATGGCTGAACCCAAAAAATCCATAGAAAACAGCAACATTTGGCTTTTGTTCCTTTTGCGCCTTCAAGCAACAAGCCAAGGGCAGAGCACCCTGCAGGTGAACGTGCTCCCCGGGGGCTGAGGGGTTCCCGTTGTCCCCTGTCAGCCCTACATGGAGGATGACAAAAGCCATAAAGCGACTCTGAGTTCCTCCTCCGTCCACCCCACAGGGTCTGACCGTGCAGCTCTCATGGGGCTCAGCTGCTCTGAAGGCTGCAAACCCTACTTAAAGGAGCGAAATGCAAGATCCCACCTAATGCTCAACCCCTTGGCACAGGGCGCTGGTGGGGGGGCAATTAGCAGAGGGGTCAGGGACAGATTTTGCTGTTCCCGTGTTTCTTCCTTGGTTATGGCATAAAGAAAAAGCCTTTCTCATTTACCTCATTTTGCATTAATATGATAGGGCTGGAGTTTGGAATAGGTCTGGGAGGCAGAAGCACTAGAAAATGCTGATAATGGCTCACAATTAATAAATAATCTTATTATTATCATCAGCATTGGAACAGTTGCTAGCATCATTGCAATTTTATTACTACTGTTATTTTTATTAACAGCTGCGACTAAAACATCCATGATAATAGTCACCACCATCATCATACAATTTGGGTTTGTTTCCTTTGTCTGTGAGGTTTTGAGCCTGACCATAATTGCTAGATTTTCCTCCTGCCCTCCCTCACTGGCGGTTTTTGCACCATCCCTTCCCCACAGAGATGGGCATCGCCCCAAGTCCTCCTGGACGCCCTACCAAGGCCAGGATAAAGGAGCCTGGAGGGAGCACAGCAACCGTCCAGCCTCATTGATATCCTGGTGAAATGGGATGGGCAGCAGCTTTGGTTTGGTGTGGAACAAAAGTGTCTTTGAAGGTTTGGAAAATAATGCAAAGAGGCAAAATATCAATTATTGTTAGAGTGCTGTTTGCATCCCCAGAGGAAGTGCAAGAAGTGGTGGCTGGAGGCGGAGGCAGACAAATTGTCCCCAAGGGATGCACAGAGCTTACGGGGAGACATAGAGCAGGCTCCTCCAGGGATAGATGCTGCCTCGTGATGGGATGCTCCAGGAGATGTTGCAGTCAAAGTTTCTTGGGCTGAGGATGGAGTCAAGGGGGAGACGCTGAGGCCCCTTTTCTCCAGGAGATCACAAAACGCTCCCTGGGCCCTCACCCCGAGGACACATCCACCCTCCTTTCCCTTTGCTCATCGTTCCCAGACTAGATTCAACTTCTGCCCCATCTTGATGTGGCCAGACCTCTCCATCCCTCTCCACTGCAGCCAAGGGAGCCCAGCTCAGCCCAGGACCTGCTCTTTAGGTGTCTGGCAGTGGGTGGGCAAAGCCCCCATGGCCATCGCACATATCAGGACACATCTGAAAACAAATGGGGAGTGGCATATTCATTGCATTTCTATTGATTTGACTTTTATCTTGGGGTCTGTCCCCCAAGAGAGAGACAAAGGCTCATTTCCTAGATCTCCAACCCACAGGTCAATCCAAATCTAACACTCACTAAACATCTCCTCTTGTTTTGGCTGAAAAAGTTTCAAAGATTCCAGGTCTGGTTTGAATAAAATTTGTTTGTTTTTTAGTATTTCTGTGAACATCCTTTTTGTCCAGAAAATATTTGCAGTTATCCAGCCATGCCCAAGATGTGGCTTTGCTGGTCCTTGCTCTGGTAGGGTTTCTTGCTGTGCAATTCCTGGGGAATTAATTCACTAATGAAGGCAGGCCATTGCTAATGAAATGAAGCTGGAGCCAACGTGGTAGGAGGAAAGGAGGCCAAGCTGACATGAAGCTCATCTGCACTATGAACGCAGCAAGGAAAAGCAGCCAGACCATGTCCTGATCTAATTGGAAATCTCTAGACCAAAGTGCTTTGATCTCAGAGGATTTTGATTTCTGCTCTTTTTTCCTGGCTGTATCTTTCAGTGTCCTGGAGGCCGCTGGAGGGTGGGAAAACTCAGATGTTGGTGTTCAAAACTGCTCAGAGAGGTGAAGTTGAGAAATGCAAAGTGGCATTTGGGTTCTGCAAGGGGCAATCTCAGCCACGGCTCAGAGCTGGGACGAGGAGCTCCCTGGGCACCCGCACAAGGTGGGAAGTCCTGCAGAAGAACCCTGATCATGGCTCCTTTGTCACTTCTAACCCTGGATGTGAAAAGTTTAT